CCAGTACTTGCCAGATATTCCTGCAGCTTCTTTAATGTTACTGTAGGCCTCTTGGCAGCCTCCCAACCAGTTTTGTTCTCATATTTTCATCAATTTTAGAGAGACGTCCAGTTCTTGGTAATGTCACTGTTGGGTCATATTTTCTCCACTTGATGATGACTGTCTTCACTGTGTTCCATAGTATGCTTTGGAAATTCTTTTGTACCCTTCTCCTGACTGATACATTTAACAATGAGATCCCTCTGAGGCTTTGGAAGCTCTTTGCGGACCATGGCTTTTGCTGTAGGATGCGACTAAGAAAATGTCAGGAAACACCTACTAGAACAGCTGAACTTTATTTGGGGTTAATCAGAGGCACTTTAAATGCTGGCAGGTGTGTACTGACTCCTATTTAACATAATTTTGAATGTGATTGCTTAAATTCTTTTTTTTTTTTTTCATTCTTATATTTTATTAAATTTTTTCAATACAAAAAGAGTATCTAATGCACACAAGAATAAAAAGAACTTCACCAATACATACATTCCATTTGCATCATCTTATTCCTTGCCCCACCCTTCCTCCTACCCTCCCTCCCCCCCCCCCCTCCAATTTTCCTGGTCTATATCCGAATTCCTAGTTTCTATCCTTTCTCGTAATTATCTGTATCCCTTCCCTTCTATCTCCTTCTCTCTGTCGGGAACTCCCTCTAATACTCTTCCAACTATATTCCAGCCAGTTCCTGATATATTTTAGATGTTTTGAAAATTAACCAGCTACTCCACATTTTCCTAAATTTTTCTATTCTATCCTCAATATGATACAACTCATCCATCCTGTAGATATTTTCCACTCTGTTAACCCAGTCATTTATTCTTGGTGGGTCTGGGGCTAGCCAGAATTTGGGAATCAAGCTCTTAGCTTCACTGATTAGATGATATAGTACCCTGTTCTTATGTAGTTTTACTAAAGGTTCAAATTTATAAAATCAACATATCCATGGGTCCCTCTGTACAGTAATTCCACATATTTCCTGAATATATTGTAATATTCCCTTCAAGTAATCCTGTATTTTCAGGCAATCCCACCATATGTGTACCATTGTTCCCTTTTCTGCACATCCTCTCCAACATAAAGGTGAAACATCTAATTTTTGTTTATGTGCCTTACTCGGTGTAATATCCCATATAGCCAAACATTTATAATTCATTTCAAATATGCTCATATTTGTCACCTCGTGTTAATTTGAATATTTTATTCTTTTGTTGCTCGTTCAATTTTGTTCCAAACTCCTGTTCCCAATTTTCCAAGAACTGGGGAGGATCAGTACCCTCCATAATAATCTTATAAATCCTGGAGGTACCCTGTTTAGGAACTGTAGTTACATTCAACAGTTTAAGTATAATTGTTATATGTGCCTGCAATGACTCCTCCCTCATTTCCAGCCCCTCCTGTATTGCATTCATATATCCACATATTTTAGGGACTAGGAGATCTCAACAGTTTTTTTTTTTATAATAACCCACAGTATATCCGTCTGGGCCAGGGCTCTTATAGCCATATTTTTTTAGGGCCATGGTGATTTCCTCCAGGGTAATAGGTCTCTCTAGGGCCTCTAATCTTTCTTCTGCTATTCTTAGCAACTCCACTTCATTTATATATTTGTCTGTTTTTCTTTTGCTCCTCTGTTTCCTTTTGGTTTCTGGGACTCACATCGTACAGCCGGCTATAATATTTTTGGAACCTATTGGCAATATCGGTGGTGGCGAACACCATTTCTCCTTTGTCATCTTTAATTTTTTCAATAAAGTTCTTGGATTTCTTTTCCTTTAGCTTCCTCAAGTATTTTCCAGGTCTATTCCCCCATTGATATCTTTCTTTTGAAACCCTGTTGAATATCCTTCTCGACTCCTGTTCCATAAGATCTTTTTATTCTTCTCTTTTAATTATTATCTTTTGATATACATCTGTACCTGTCTTCTTTTTATGTGACTGTTCTAACTAGCAGAGCTCCTCCATTACCGTCTTTATTTTTTTTCCCCTCATTCTTTTTTTTTTTCTGCTTCCTTCAAAATCAATATTCCTCTGATATATGCTTTATGTGCCTCCCAGATTGTGGCCACTGACACCTCCTCAGTCTCATTGAGCTAAAAAAATTGCTCAATTTCCTGCCTTATCCTTTTCTATAATTCAGGATCCTGTATAAGCATCTCATTTAGTCTCCTCATAGTTATCTTATCCTGATCCCCTCCTATCCTTGGTCTCATTGTGACAGGAGCATGATCAGAAATAGACGTAACCTCTATGTTGGCACTAACCAACCACTCCAGTTGTCTATGTTCGATCATTATATAATGTAGTCTTGAATACGATCCATGTATCAGAGAGAAGAAGGTGTAATCTCTTTCTCTTGGATGTTTTACTCTCCAAGTATCGGTCAGTTGACACTGATATAATAACCTCTTCAATAATTTTGATTTCCTACCCCCCTCTCTTCTTGTACAAGATGGGGATCCAAACTCAAGTTTAAATCTCCAGCCACAACCAGACTACCCTTTTTAAATTTAGAAAGTTTTCTTAACACTCCCTACAAGAATGTTACTGGATTTTTATTTGGGCAGTAGATATTTACTTGTGTATATTCAGACCCTCTGGGTCCTCCATTCTTCCCTCCAGGATAAAACTTACATTTTTTGAAAACCCAATTGCTACCCCTTTAGCCCTTTTAACTGGAGAATGTGTGTAGTACCACGTTGCGTAGTATTTTGTGTATGACTTAACATTTGTATCATGGGTTACATGTGCCTCTTGAAGAAACACTACATCTATGGAGTGTTGGTGAATTTCCCTAAGTATCTTATGTCTTTTTGTTGGGGAATTTAACCCTTTCACATTATAAGTCATAAACTTAATTAAGCTCGTTTCAACTATTATTTCCCTACCCTAGCAGGATTCCCAACACGAAGACAGATACAGACATTTTAAGATATGGACTTAATCCCTTCCCTCCCTACCAAAACCCTCCATTTTCTTCAACCCCCCCTTCCTTTACCCTAAAACCATCCTGGCCTACATATTGCCCTGGAATCTGTCGTGAAATATTCCCACTAGTGATTCCTAGTATGGGGTGAGACTCAAAACACACACACACCGACCCCAATATTTAGCTAGTTTCATCCACATTCTTGGCCTCCAGACCACCCGCCAGATCCATGTTCTCACTGCCCCTCCATCCCTCCCACCCGTTATCTTAAACTGGGAAGGAAGGGACCGGGGGTGAGGGAACCATGGTGCTGCCACGGAGGGCTGGGGGGTAAAGGGGAGAGAGAGAGAAAAAAAAAAGGGGGCTTTCTCTCCATACCTCACCCCCCCACACCCCCACCCACCTACTTCTTCTTCTTAGATACCCGCTGCCATTTTCTTAATACCTGCCCTCCTTCAAGGTCTATTTTCTGTAAGTCTAATTTCTTTCAAAAGTCATTGAGATCTTCTGGGAACCTCAGCCTTGCCGATTTTCCATCCAATTAAGTATGCTGGGAAGCCCCAGTTATATCGATCTTTTTTCTCTCTCATATGCTCCAACAATGGTTTCAAATATCTTCTAGCCAGTGTCTCTGGAGCAATGTCCGCAAAAATATGCAAGTTTCCTCATATTTTATTTTGGTAGAGTCACACAAACCTTTCTATATTCTCTCTATTCAAAGTGATGCAGTCCAACTATCATGTCTCTGGTGCTTTCCTCCGGTACTCTTTTTGGCCGTCTGATCCTATGTACTCTCTTGATTTTTAACTTTTCTTTCGCTGATCTTCCCATTATTGGATTACACACTCTTTTTATTTTCTCCCATAGATCCTCTTCCTTTCCTGTTCTTCTTCTTCTGGTAGACCCCGATCCTTAAGTTATTTCTTCTCTTGCGATTCTCCTGGTTTTTCACTATAAATGAGAGCTTTTTCTGTTCTCTACGCATCACCTCCATTTGCGTTTCTAAATTATTGATTAATTGCATGTATACCTCCATTCTCCCCTCTACTTCTTTAACTCGAGTTTGTATCCAACCCAAATCATTGCGTAATATCCCCATCTCACTTTTCATGGACATCTCTAGTTTTGCGAACATTTTCACCATCTCAGTTTTTGTAGGTATTTGTGACATGGCCCACTGCACGTTTGGTCCCTGTCGAGGTCCAGGTGGATCAGTGGGGTGTCAAACGGCCTGGGGTGTTTCAGGGTCTGCCAAGGCTGCTGTCTCATTGCTCTCCTATTCCTTTAGGACCGTTTGTCATATTCAAAATTACCGCCATAGTCCCCTGGGCTGTCACATAGGTGGTCACATGGTTGGTCACCTGGACGCTCTCACCATCCCTCCAGTACCGCCGCCGCCAGCTCCCAGTCCGGGGGGTCCAGCGCTCCTCTCTGACCATCGCCACCTGCGACTCTCCCAAGGGCTCCTCCAGTCAACACCAGTCAGCACCGGCTCCCCTCATCTGCCGCCACCAGGACCGTCCGCACGCAGGGTCTCCGCTGGATCTGACACTGCACCGGCCCGGGCCTTAGGTAAGGCAGATAGCTGTCACGTGGCAGGCGTCTGGAGCGCCTATTCCTCACAGCACCATGTTCAGGCCCCTCCCCCTGTCGTATGTTTGATTGCCTAATTCTGAACACAGCTACATCCCCAGTTATAAGAGGGTGTGCACACTTATGCAACCACATTATTTTAGTTTTTTTATGTTTACTCCCCCCCCAAAGATTTCATTTTTTTGTTCAATTGGGTTGTACAGTTTATAGGTCACATTAAAGGTGGAAAAAGTTCTGACATAATTTTTTTACATCACACAAACCTGACATTTTAACAGGGGTGTGTAGACTTTTCATATCCACTGTACATCTCACTGCACATTGGTTGCATTATAATTACTGTAGTACTTCCTATTCTTTGCATGAAAGTAATTGGTTTTTGTTTCTAATTGTAAGGCACATATTTTTTTTGCTTGTCACTAACCCCCTAGAGTCTGTTTTGCAGAGGCAGAAATAGACATTAGGATGCGAGAAGAATTTTCAAAAGTGTGCTTTGAGACCCTGCTTCAGTTCTCATTCAGCAATAAAGTGACAACCCCACAGGAAGGATACATCTCTAGAATGGCACTTTCTGTTCTGCTGAAGAGATCTCAAGATATTCTCCACCGCTACATAGATGACGAAAGACTGAGCGGGAAATGCCCTCTGCCAAGGTATGCATAGAGTTTAACATGTATTCCTAACATGTACCACATTGTTCTCTGAACGAACATTACGCAACAGGTGTGTTCTTCTGATTGTACAACTCAGCTTCTTTTTTGTGCCCTTCCTGAAAAATAATAATAAATGTAAGAATGCAGGGAGCGAGATTTCACATTTTGGAAAACATTACTGATGTGTGTTATATTTTCATCAGGGTGAAATATGTGTGTGGTGGATTTTCTTTTAATATGCTATGCTGTAAAGGTTTCTAGGTCCGCAGGCAAATCAGCCGCTATGTATAAACTTTCCAGTTGAAGGGTCTCAAGAAGCAAAGAAAACAGATCCCCTGCAGAGCTTAATAATAATCGTAGTAGGATATTAAACCTGTTGTGTGGGGAGACCTTTTCAGTTACTGCCCTAAATTCCACAGTCAAGAGTCCTCCAGCTAGGACTGTACACATTGTAATGTTTACAGAAGAACTTCCATTCTGCAGAAGTGGTTTGTTATTCTATATAAAAGAAAACTAAAAAAATAAGTTCACCTTAAATAAATAAACACGGGCGGAACATGTAACATGTTCCCAAAGGTGAACTTATCATTTAACTTGGTGCACAGTTCAGAACATATCAATTAACTTTCATACAAAATAAAATTAGACCTCTTAATGCACATTCTAGGATGTGTCCTGTCTCTGCTGCCATAGCAAACAGTCAGCCTCTCCAGTTTTTTCTTTAAACCAGCAATGAAAAATGACTGGTTACTATAGATTACAGAAAGTTTTACTTTCAGACACTTTGATCCATGTGGCCCTCAGTAATTAACATAAGAAAGACATGTGAAAGTCATACAGAGTACATATTGACAGCAACTCCATTTCTACATTGCTAATTAGTTCCCCCACTGAAGAGTGATACCATAGAAAATGGCATTTGCATTCTCCTGGGTGGTATTCAGTCCCTTGGATCTTTCAAGATGTTAGAATTAGAAATGTGAATCAGATTTAGAGCCCTTTGATATAAACCAGCTCACTTCCATGGTTGACACATCACAACCTTCCTGTAGAGGAGCAGTTCCTGCATGTGTTCCACTGTTGGAAGGAATTGCTCATGATTCAAATAGCTAAAATGGTGCTTCTGGTGCTATTGTAGTACTAGTACATTTCAAGTATGATACATATATCAAAAAGATTGTTTTGACTTTATATAACTGTGTCTAGAACATGCATGTAGTCAATTTGGTAGATTGCCTCATCTGCATGCTTGTTCTAGGTCACTAAGTGAAGCAAGCATAGGTATGAGAGCCCTGGGGCTTCCAGCTTCATTTTAGAACTAGCAGCTTCCATACGTTTATCCAAGAGAACTGGTACTGAAATAGCCCCAAAATGTTTATTTTTATTGTAATAAGAGTAATTTTGTATCCCTTTATTGGCTAGAGGTATCTGCACTTGCATAGTCCTAATGAGCATAGTATTGGTTACGTGACTAGGCACTGGAGAGTTGGAGGACTATTATCATAAAAAGGGATACATTTTGGCTATTTTATTGCTATATTAAAGGTCCATCTAAGGTCGTACTTCTGGACCTCTTGCACACAGGCACACTGATGTGTCAGATGCAGCTTAAGTAGGTTGTGTGTGCTCTGTTTTTCTTGTGGTCATATTTATGATAGCCAGCTTTTTAACTGGTAAATACAGGCTTTAAGTACACTTGACAAAGGTCACCATAGCAGAACATCACACAGGAAACAAGGATACATATAGTGGAGGATAAGCTCATTCTAGCTGCCGGTTGAAACATCATAGCATTCAGTATAAGCATGCTTTAATTTACAGATTCATCTCTAGATAATGACAGTACAGGCTGGGATTGTGGGCTCATGGCTATTTCAGCTTGTTATGCCAACAACTTACCATACTAGGCTGGTGTTAAGCCATATGTTCTTCTAGCTGTTCAGTATCACATATAGAATTATGAGCCATAATAGTCTTAAACACTTATGCAAGTGTTTATTCTAAAACTTCTGCAAACATTTTTTTTACTTCAGCTGAGCCTAAAAAATTTTGTCTTTTGTTAACTACAGTATATGTGGACTGTCCATGGAATGATAGTATTCACTATATATGGTGGTAGACCCCTAAAGCTTGTCCTGTTAAAATAACAAACAAAGTATCATGGGTCGTAATTAAAATACCCATAACAATTTGATGAAAAATATTGTTCTGTAGCAAGAAACATACAGCTAGGTCCATATATATTTGGATTCAGGCACAATTTTAGTTTTTTTCAGGTGTTTACCAAAACATATGAAAGCTGTAATTATCTAATGGATATGGGCTGAAATTGCACGCTCTCAGGTTTAATTTGAGGGTATGTACATCCAAATTGGAGGAAGGGTTTAGGAATTACAGTTCTTAAGAGTAGCCCTCCCCCCTTTTTCAAGGGACCAAAAGTAATTGGACAATTGACTCAAAAGCTGTTTCATAGCCAGGTGTGGGCTACACCTTTTTGTTATTTCTTCATCAATTAAGTAGGTAAAAGGTCTGGAGTTGATTCTAAGTGTGGTATTTACATTTGGAATCTATTGCTGTGAACCTACATCATGCGTTCAAAGGAGCTGTCCATGTAAGTGAAACAGGAATAAGGCTTCAAAAACTAAACAAATCCATCAGAGAGATAGAAGCAATATTAAGAGTGGCCAAATCAACAGTTTGGTACATTCTGAGGAAAGAAGAACATACTGGTGAGCTCAGCAGCATAAAAATGCATGGATGTCCACAGAAGAGAACAGTGGTGGATGATCGCAGGATCCCCTCTATGGTAAAGAAAACCCCATTTACAACATCCAGACAAGTGAAGGACACTCTCCAGGAGGTGGGCGTATCATTGTCAAAGTCTGCAATCAAGAGAAGACTTCACAAGAGCAAATACAGAAGGTTCACCACAAGGTGCAAACCATTCATAAGCCTGAAGAATAGAAAAGCCAATTAGACTTTGCCAAAAAACATCTAAAAAAGCCAAACCAGTTCTGTACCAGAATGACAGGAAGAAAAAAGTGTTCAGAAGGCTTGGAAGTGTGATGGCATGGACATGCATGGCTTCCAGTGGCACTGGGTCATTGGTGTTTATTGATGATGTGACAGAAGACAGAAGCAGCCAAATGAATTGTGTGTAGAGATATACTGTCAGCCCAGATTTAGCCCAATGCAGCAAAGTTGATTGGACGGTGCTTCACAGTACAGATGAACAATGATCCAAAACACACTGCAAAAGCAACCCAGGAGCTTTTGAAGGAAAAGTGGAATATTCTGCGATGGCCGAGTCAGTCACCTGATCTCAACCCAATTGAGCATGCATTTCACTTGCTGAGGGCAAAACCAAAGGCAGAAAGACCCACAAACAAAGAACAACTGAAGACAGCTGCATTTAGAGCCTGGCAAAGCATCAGAAAGGAGGAAACCCAGTCTTTGGTAATGTCCATGGGTTCCAGACTTCAAGCAGTCATTGTCAGTAAAGGATTCTCAACAAAATAATAAAAATGAACATTTTTGTTTATGATTATTTTCAACTGTCCAATTACTTTTGGTCCCTTGAAAAAAAGAGTTGCTACTCTTAAGAGCTGTAATTCTTAAACCCTTCCTCCAATTTGGATGTATATACCCTCAAATTAAACCTGAGAGTGTGCACTTTCAGCCCATATCCATTATATAACTATAGCTTGAATATGTTTTGGTAAATGCCTAAAAAAAAAAACTAAAATTGTGACTGTGTCCAAATATACAGTTGCAAGAAAAAGTATGTGAACCCCTTGGGATTACGTGGAGTTTTGCATGAATTGGGCATAAAATGTGCTCTGAACGTCATCTAAGTCACAACAATAGAAGAACACAGTCTGCTGAACATAATACTACACAAACATTAGATGTTGCCATGGTTTAATTGCACATAACATGTAAACATTCACAGTGCAGGGAGGAAAAAGTATGTGAACCTTTGGACTTAATAACTGGTTGACCCTCCTTTGGCAGCAATAACCTCAACCAAACGTTTCCTGTAGTTGCAGATCAGACCTGCACAATGATCTGGAGTAATTTTGGACCACTCCTCTTCACAAAACTGTTTCAGTGTAGCAATATTCTTGGGTCTGTCTGGTGTGAATTGCTCTCTTAAGGTCATGCCACAGCATTTCAATCGGGTTGAGGTCAGGACTCTGACTGGGCCACTCCAGAAGGCGTATTCTGTGCTGTTGCAGCCATTGTTTTGTTGAATTACTTGTATGCTTTGGGTCATTGTCCTGTTGCATCACCCATCCTCTGCGGAGCTTCAGTTGGAGGACAGATGGTCGTACGTTTTCCTGCAAAATGTCTTGATAAACTCTGGAATTCATTTTCCCATCAATGACAACAATCCTTCCAGGCCCTGAGGCAGCAAAGCAGCCCCAAACCATGATGCTCCCTCCGCCATGTTTTACAGTGGGGATGAGGTTTTGATGTTGGTTTGCTGTGCCTTTTTTTCTCCACACATAGTGTTGTGTGTTCTTCCCAAACAACTCAATCTTGGTTTCATCTGTCCACAGTATATTTTACCAGTAGTGCTGTGGAACATCCAGGTGCTCTTTTGCAAACTTCAAACGTGCTGCAATATTCTTTTTGGACAGCAATGGCTTCCTCCGTGGTGTCCTCCCATTGTACTCCATTCTTGTTTAATGTTTTCCTTATTGTAGATGTGTCAACAAAAATGTTAGCATGTGCCAGAGATTTCTGTAGGTCTTTAGCTGACACTCTGGGATCCTTTTTTACCTCACACAGCATTCTGCGCTGTGCTCTTGCAGTCATTTCTATAGGATGACCACGCGTAGGGAGAGTAGCAACAGTGCTAAACTTTCTCCATTTGTAGACAGTCTGTCTTACCGTGGACACATGAACATCAAGGCTTTTGGAGATACTTTTGTAACCCTTTCCAGCTTCATGCAAGTCAACAATTCTTGATCATAGGTCTTCTGAGAGCTCTTTTCTGCGAGGCATGGTTCACATCAGACAGTGCTTCTTGAAACCAGTAAACCCAAAACAGGTGTGTGTGTTTTTTAAGGGCAGGGCAGCTGTCAGCAACACATCCAATATCATCACACTGATTGGAGTCAAGGTTGGCTCACTCCTGGCTCCAATTAGCTCTGGGAGAAGTCATTAAGCTAGGGCTTCACATACTTTTTCCTCCCTGCACTGTGAATGTTTACATGTTATGTGCAATTAAACCATGGCAGCATCTAATGTTTGTGTAGTATTATGTTCAGCAGACTGTGTTCTTCTATTGTTGTAACTTAGATGATGTTCAGAGCACAATTTATGCCCAATTCATGCAAAACTCCACGTAATCCCAAGGGGTTCACATACTTTTTCTTGCAACTGTATATGGACCTAACTGTACATTCCACATTAATAATTATGCTACCAATATTAGTGTGTCCTGTAAAGTGCCTCCAGCATTGTCTTCTTGCTAAAGGCTGCCATTTTGCTGAAGCCCTCAGCCCCTGAGCAGCAGTAAATCTTTAGGCTTTCAGCAGATTGACCTCTAGTGACTGATTTTCCGCACAGTGCTAAAAAAATAGAGAACAACTGAGCATGTGCAAAGAAGAATGAGACAGTGTATCCCTGGATTTTAAACCATACAGGCACTTATTTTCAATGTTTTACATAGCTATACCTGCAAAAGGGCCAGCATAAAGTGATCTATCAGGACTTAATTTTCTTACAAAGTTCCACTTTAACTGTGGTGTTCTGATTATTAATCCCTTAATATTTGTCTTCTCTTTTACATAGAGACCAAGCCATCCAGTAAAATGAACAGGGTTACAGCCTACAGGCTGAACAAAAAAAATCTGACAGATTTCATCCATCCACAGTGCAGATGAACAAATTTCCCACTGCATCTCCTGTATTCCGACAGCCGACACCAGTCCAAAATTTTTTCATCTAGCTCCTTTGATTGAGTGCCAGATGAGAGGGTGGCAACAGGGCCACCCATAAAGCAAATTACAGCTAGTTTATCAGGAAGTAGCTGAAATTCGCGTGGTGTGTAGCCAGCTTAACCGTAACCATTGAATCCTTACAAAGGTCACTTTTATTGCACTGGTAACAAGTGTCAAAAAATATTGTTGCAACTGCTTTGTTCTAACCCGTTTAACTATTTGTGGACAGCTTGGTCTGCATAGATATGTGCAGAAGAATAATAATAAAGGAATATACTGTGTAGCACTGTACAGTGTTTTGGAATTCTACCTTTTGTACAAGAAGCTAGCAGGGTATCTATTACTCAGGGCCCGAAGTATTTTGTACTTCGTCGTGTTTGTTTTTTAATATTTTAGGTATTGGTACATAGCAACCTTTAGGTTACAGTATTCTCTCTAACTTCATGTAGCCAATATCTGTACACTTGCACATGACATTCCTTGAAAGTATAAACAGCACCTTATAATTTCATGGTAAATGGTAATAATTTATGATTCATTGCAAAATAAATGTTTGGAATTCCAGAGAGATACATACCTTAACATTTGAAGTAGACCTGAGACTGCATTAGCCCAAATAAAGTGCACAGCTATAAATACCTCTTTTCTGTCAGATGCTTGTTGAGGGAAAACCTTTGCACAGTACATGCACTGTAATATGCTTTGCATAAGTCATAATGAATAATGGTGATTTTATGTTCGGATTTCAGGCAACGTGTAACGGAAATCATATTTGTTTTAAAAGCTGTAAGCACCCTCATAGATTCTCTTAAGAAAACTCACCCTGAAAATGGTAAGTACTGGAGTGGTGTTTTTACTTTGTAGATGATGTTTTATTTGGTTTAACTTTTCTATCTTGTTCTGGTTCACTATATACAAGCAGACCCTGCTTCAGATACAAAAGACCTGATATTGGCTTGCTTTTTATTTATTCAGGGCCCTCCTGTCCCTCTTGTATTGAACTGTATCGTTGCTGTATTGTCTCCCATTATATTGTAAAGCGCTGAGCAAACTGTTGGCGCTATATAAATCCTGTATATTAATAATAATTTATTGTATACATACTTTGTGAGCATGTTATTCCTTACTATAAAGGCTGCACCAATCCTAGTCATACATACAATTTAAAGTGGTTAAAAAAGTAGAAGGCTTTTTACCTTACTTACCTGAGTGTGATCTTGATCCAGCACTGTGCCCCAAAGAAGCAGTTCTTTCCTCCACTCAAATCCTGTGACGAGGGAGGGGGGATGGGACTGAACCCTGCTGTCTGTATCAATGGTCAAGCGTGGCTCAGGATTGCCCCCACTGGTGTGCCACAGTAGGAAGTGGCTTCCTATGGTGGCACACTGAGAAGAGGAAGATCCAGGAGCACCGACACAGAGGACCCGAGAAGAGGAAGATTAAATAGCATGTTTGTTATTTAAAAAAAAGTTCACAATCATTTTAAAGGATATGTGTACGTTTAATCAAAGTGCAGTTATCCTTTTTCCCTAGGATTCCTAGCAAAAATATCCAACCAACCTCAACCTCACCTGGCATAATTCTGTACTTATATATCACCACTATATCACCACCATTTACTTTATTATATCACCACTACAGTCTCGTTTCTTCAGTTCTTTGCCTCTTGGAAGCAGAAATTTTCCCAGCACACCTGTGCACTTGCTCTCTATAGACTTTCATTAACCTGTCAATCAACACATGAGGTGGATTTAGATTGAATTACGCATTGAAGAGTCTGTGACAGTCATATTAAGGTAAGTTCAGATTTGTGGGGAAAGGGTGGGTGGAGCCTAAAAAAGGATAATTGCACCAAAATGCCCATGTGGTCCAATACTTACTTTTCGGCTCTGCTAGGTTCTGCCCAGCCTTGCTTCTGAAAATGTTCCCTCCAATTCCTTGTCAGTCTGTGCATGTGTGCCACATTCTATGAGGGGAAACGTACTTTGAAGGACAGCTGGAGGTCACCATGAGTACAGCTTTCAATAACATTTAATAAGGCTACAATGCCTGAGCAGTCTGAAGAGGAACCAGCAAGGCTGTGAAGATTGCTAGATGGAGGATGTACGCGAGTATCAGACGAGATGGACTGCACTCATCCGTGGGAAAGGCTGCATTCCTTAACCGCCTCCCGCCTGCCCTATAGTAATATGATGGATGCAAGGTGGTTCTCTTGTTCTGGGAGGACGTCATATGACGTCCTCCCATTCTAACCACGCATGCGCGGCTCCCGGAGCACGCAGCGCGGAAATCGGCAGTGCGCTGTGTCCCTCAGACACAGCGGATCACCAATCCACAGAAAGAGCCGAAGATGTCGGCTCGGTCATGTGATCAGCTGTGTCCAATCACAGCTGATCACATGTAAACAGGGAAATGCCGGTTATCGGCATTTTCTCTCCCCACGAGCTGTCACTCTAACAGCTCGTGAGGAGAGGAGAGCCGGTAATCGGCCTTCCTTGGAGGGGACATGTACACAGATCATCAGAACACTGATCATCAGTGTGCCCTGATGATCTGTGTAGCCCCAGCAGCGCCACCTGTCAGTGTCCATCAGTGCCACATTTCAGTGCCACATATCAGTGCCCATCTGAGCTGCCGTTCAGTGTCACCCATCAGTGCCAGTCACTGCCACCTATCAATGCCAGTCGGTGCCACCTATCATTGTGCATCAGTGCCGCCTATCAGTGCTGCCTATCAGTGCCACCTAACAGTGCCAGTCAGTGCCGCCTATCAGTGCCCATCAATGATGCCTGTCAATGCCCATAAGTGCCTCCTCATCAGTGCCACCTATCAGTGTTCATCAGTGCAGCCTATCAGTGCCCATCACTGCAGCCTCATTAGCGCACATCAGTGAAAGAGAAAGATCACATCTTTACAAAATTTTATAACTAAAACTAAGAAAAAACATTTTGGTTTTTTTTTCCAATTTTTCAGTGGTTTTTTTGGTTTGTTTAAGAAAAAATAAAAACCCAGAGGTGATTAAATACCACCAAAATAAAGCTCTATCTGTCACAAAAAAATGATAAAAATTTCATATGGGTACAGTGTTGCATGACCGCGCAATTGTCATTCAAAGTGCAACAGTGCTGAAAGCTGGAAATTGGCCTGGGCAGGAAGGGGGTATAAGTGCCCTGTAGGGTAGTGGTTAAAGTGGAATTCCAAGCTAGAATGAACTAAGCTTGAAACTGCTTTTACCCCCCCTTCTAATACCTATACTAACTATCCTGAGGAAGGAAGATGCCATATACTTACCTATTATAAGGGCACTCCGGTCCTGTCACATGATTGGCTCGCAGTGGCCTACTTCAGGGAGAAGACATAGTAAGCCTATGGGTGACTTAATTGTCCAGGCATTCCATCTGTTGTCAGCACTCTCTCCTCTTCTGTAAGGTTACCCGCTGGGGAGATCATGTGACTGGACCAGAGCGTCCTGAGAATAGGTAAGTATATGCATCTTCTTTCTACAGGATTGTTAGTATAGATGTTGGGGGGTTGGGAGCAGTTTTATGCTTGGTTCTAGCCTGGAATTCCACTTTAAGGGACAACCTGTGCAAAATGTACAATTGTCCTTTTATTGTAGCAAAAAGCTTAATGCCACATTTCGAATGAAAGTACTCCATAACCACTAACATTTAGCCATTGCCTTCTAGCCTCAAACTTTAACACAAGCCCAACATGAATGAACCTATGAAATGGCACACTTGTCAGGCACTAAAGTTGCAGGGACCAAACCTTCCCATTCTGTGCCAATGGAAGCCAGTTCACTAGTCAATGTGGTTGGTTTAAGCAAATAAACACTCCCTGACACCATTTGAATATACAAGCCCTCATGGGAATGTAGCCCAGGAAACCCCGGAAACATGATGCAAGGGTGCCAACCATTGTGCTCTTTTCTGAGCATTATGTAAAGACTTCTGTTTATTCCTGCAGACCATACCAAATGTTTTACTGTGTTTCTATATAGACAGAGTTCAGATTTCACCTACCTTACTGTCAGACACTTGAAAAGATTGCTTCAGCAGTTTGGCTGACTGCCCTTTGCACATCATTTTTTATGTCTCTGGCTCTCAAATGACAGCTTTTACAGAGTACTTTGACTGATACTATACATTTTTGCGCAGAAACATTCATTTTAAAATGTACACAATTTTACACCTGCAAGCATATCGTAAAATGTGCCTGAATCACTTGCACATAAACTGAAAATGTGCCTGTCCGTGGCCAGCAGTAAAATTATATATACAATACATAGCCAGGCTGACTTGCCTTTTGGTATTCTCTGCTGTATGTATATTAACATGTTTTCTTTGAAGATCTATCTGCACCATTATTGAACCTCTTAGGGATTATATCCCTGCAGGATCTGGTCACTCAAGACCCCTCCCACATCTTGTGTTTATTTCTTCTGTATAGCCATGGCTAGAAAGCTTAAGTCTGGCATGTCAATGATTATGAGATCTATCATCTTTTGCTTCCCAAAGGGTGCATAAGCAACTTACATTTATTACATCACAGTAAAATCAAGGGTCACTATAAATATACAGTATCCTGCCACAGAGTGACTTTCATACATTTAGAATATCTCATGATCTGAACGGAGATCAGCTACGGCAATATTGCCCAGGTGGGGTTTCAAAGCTCCAGAGCAAAAAACAAATGGGTATTGGTGTGTAATGTATCTTATACCTTCCTATATCTTAATTTAACAAACGTACATTTTATAGTGCAGTAGTTCTGGAAATGTAGTATTAATTGACAAACAGGCTATAGCAACAACCTAGAATTTCTAGTGGAAATAAACTGTTAAATCAAAAATAGCTAGGAGGTAGAGTAGTTTTAGCAGAAGAAACATGCAAAGTATATATATTCTGTCTCCCTTCTAGCAATTTTCTCTCCATTTGGCATCTGTGCAGTGCATTGTACATTCCTGGTTCATGCCAACATTTTTCAAATGTTGAGAAGAGACCCACGTGCTGGGGACAGTGTAGCTCCCATATGCATATGCAGGAGTTACATCATTGTTAGCCACCCAGTAGCAGAAGAGGATGGGAGGGGGGGGGGGGGCCTAAAGAGAAGAGAACAATGGTGGTGGTGCAGCAATTGAGAGTCTGGGTCAGTCTGTGCTGGAAGAGGGCACTCTTGTAGGGGCATGTGACATAACATGCAAGTAAGCTCTGCATACGTACACATTATGGCAAGAGCCCATGCTCACTCAGCAGACTTTAGTTTTTTTTTTATGTACTAGTGAGTCATATCCAGGCTCCTTTTAAAGGCGTTTTTTGGTCACAGCTGAGATTGAAGAGGAGGAGGAGGGTGAATGACATCACAAGCTCCACCTCAGCCAATCAGAGAATGCCTTGTATTCATCGATGAAAAACAAAGGCACTCCGAGAATGGCTGAGATGTTACATGACTGACTTTTTCTTTCCAGCCTCAGGAGAGAAGTATGCAATACTTGCCTGGCTTGCCATATGCAGCACAAGTTATTGCACTGTATTACAGTTGCCAGACTTTTCTGCCAGAGTAATCATTCATTTGAATGTACCAGTCCAAACAAAATGTTTAAAGGTATAGTAAATATATGTTCTAGTTTAAGGAGATTTAAGAAGAGTAGAAAAAAAGCCTGGGGTCTCAAGTGATTAACCGTAAAATATTTTTAGAGTACATGGTTCACGTTAATAAATAGAGAATTCAGTTATTTAAAAGGTAGAGGTTTTCACTGCTTGAATTTTGTTGATTGCCTCCTTTCACTCTCCTAGTCTGTTTGATCTTCGAGTGCTGCTGTACAGGGAA